CGCTACACTTCGATCAGGGCCATGCTCAGGGTCTCATCGTCGATGGGCTTTTGATTGCACACCACAAATATGATTCCTTTCATCAACCTTATTCTACGTTCCCAAACCTCGCCCCCTATGGCTAGCGCACGGCGGATTGAAATGCCAACGGATATTTTGGGGCGTCAGTCGCTTATATGATTCACCATGGTTGACAAGGAACAGCCAAGTTTGCCGCTCGTTAAACGCCCCCACAAAATTTGAGCGGTTTTCGGGATATGTGTTGTTCGGGACTCTGCGCCTGCTGATCAGCTTCTGAAGCGCCATCAGGAATGATTCAGTAGACATACTATGTAACATCTCTAAATGCGCCGCGCGAGACTGCCTGCAGGTAAACAGGCATCCGTACCACTTCGCCACCGATCATCCACACTTCACCAGCAAGGAGCCGAAATAATCCACTCCCGTCTCCACGAACGGCCAACCCGCCGTTCGAACCCCGAATTCAGTTACCGTGTTTTGGCGTCAACAGAACATACATCTACCGACGATCCCCGTCATTACGGTTCTTCCACGTGTTATCTAAAATCTCTCCCGAATGACGTTCAGTAAGTGGTTAGTTCCCACGTTTTCGCATTTTACGTGAAGGTGGCGTATAAGCGAGATGGTGACGTGGCTAACAGCCGGTAGAATAGTCGGATGTCTAGCGTCCAATACCAGGGAGGAGTTGTCCAATCTCCCTCCAACGCGCAGCAAATCTTCAACCAGTATAGGATTCAGCTTACGCAGCGCTCTCCGTTGGATTGCAGTCCGTTTTGCGGTCCTTTGGGTTCTTCCCTGCGTTTGCTTGTAGCGTCATTGTTTCAAAGGGAAAATGCTTCAGTTGCACTAATCCCACAACGTTGTGCTCCGCTTTCATTATGTCGTCCGTCGATAAATGTACCACACGCAGCGCTTCGTCAGGCGGAAAGCCGGTCATGATCATCACCATATATTTAAACCTTATCCGCCAAGCGACAGAACCAATCACTTTGCTGCATGACGAGAAGCTTTCCGGTTTCCTTAACATGGAGGAGGTGACGTCGCGTTCCACCGTCATTACTACTCTCTTGGCTTCAATCAGCTCGACGGGCGCTGTGGATGCTGGCACTTGACTCTCGTCCACTTGCCCGGCGGTCAGAAATGTTGGGCCTCAGATCCAATCAGGTAATTTGTCCAACGACCTCAATCTCCAGGAGCAGTAATCGGCTGGTTTGTCCGCAGATTTAACATAACACCATTGGCAAACCTTGGTCTCTTCGTGCACCACCGTCAGCCAATTAGAAACGAAGGTGCTGAACTTAGTGCTGACGTTGTTCACTTAGTGTTTCACGAAGGCAGAATCGATCCAGAACGTGACGCGTTCATCGAAGATACTGAAGCACTGTAGCAGATGCTTCCATATACGTACGGCTTGCATGGCCGCGGTCAGCTCGAGGCGGGGTATCGATACATATTTCAAAAGGGGCGACCCCAGCTTCGTTGAAAATAAGCTCTGTCGTGCGCTCCCCGTTTTCATACAGCTAGCTTACATAGTCTACTGCTGCGTATCCCGTCTCTGACGCGTCAGAGAATAAGTGCAGTTCAACCTTCGTCTTTTGGCTGCTTCGGCTGAGTCGGCGCGCATTTTTATCTCACCCAGTCTCACCCAGTCCCGGACCGGTAGCCTTTTAAGGTACTCTAACCTTTTCAGGGCTGTCTCATAGTTGTTCAGCAATCGGACATATTATATCCTCCATGATAAAGGCACCTCAAATCTATTGGGCTGACAGCGTCTCCCCATTTCGACTATAGCTGATGCCTGGTTATGTTCTATAGAGGGGCCAACTTTCCGGTCGCTGAAGTCGTTGACCTCATTGTCGTAAATCCGATGTAGGGTTTGTTCGATCGTATCGTCGCCAGCGGTGGTGGTTGTGGTAAAGTTAATTGACAATGGTTCGTGGTTGGCCGATTGAGGCGGTCCAAATGATGTCCACCAGAAAACGTTGCGAGTGGCGTAGGGTTCTTTCCTGCTGCCTAGTCTCTGGTCCAGCACCCATTGGGCTTCTGGCACGTCACATCCTACCAGCAAATCGACTTCGGCAGAGTCGGCTTCTTCGAAACGTAAATCTTTCAGGTGTGGCCAGCGCGTTGCTGGTTCTCCGATGGTTTCCACTACTCGCATCGGAAAGTCGGCGATGGTGAAAGCCTCTGTCACCTCAACACGATCCCCACTACCTAGCGATACCAATGTCATGCTCGTCTGACCTGCATACGTAGCCTTGATACCGTTCACCGTGCTGATCGTCAGGGAAGATGTTCTGGTTGCGATATGGTTCTTCACGGCGAAGCGCTTAGTGATTAGAGTGGCATCGGATCCATTGTCAATAGATGCCGTTGTCTTTAATACCCCCCTAGGAGTTAGTATGCCTACCGGTGTTACCCCGAGACGCACCTGTATGCCAGTCGATTGCGAAAGTAGAAATACGCTTGGATTTGGGGCTGCGGTAGCTGCGTCTCTCATGTAGAATGCAGGAGGGTATGGTGCCTTCCATGACACCGCTTTTCACCATATCTGCTTCGGATACTACAAGATACCCGGGAATTTTAGCCGTTTAAACAAACAAAGCACGCACAATGCTTCTTGGCTGCTTTCCAACCGTCAGGAACTTCAGGTTGCACAGATTTCACATATGCGGGTAGTTCGTGACACGAACGACACAGGGCATCTAGGTGCGTCACGTTCCCCAACGTTGCACAGTTACTTGCATTCCTAGAGCTTCTCGCGATATCGTAGGTACGTTCCTTGGCACGGTGTCTCTCTTCTCGCTCACTCATGCTAGCGAGTTGTCCAAAGAGACCACTGACGACCTTGGTACGGTTTCGGATGAATTCGGTCAGCTCGGTGAAGTTTGATTCTCTCCCTAAACGATAGATAATCACCGCCAATTCCGCCCACCGCTGTTGTATGTCAGCCGGCAGGCATCGTTCTATCGCTTCTAGGGTGTGTAGTGCATTCAAATCTCCTTCATATCTCATTCGAGTCAGGGCAATGAAACAGTTTCGCGTCTTCATTCCCAGTCGCACCAACGAATCAGGTTCGTTTCTCGACTTACAGGCCTCGGCTAGCACACAGTCTATGAACATCCGTGCCACGTGAAACGGTTGAAAAAACAGTTCCTTAAAAATGTCTCTCGCTCGGCTATACCCTAATTCGTTCGGTAACATTACACATTCTTCGATAGCGTCCCGGGCATTTCCACGGAAATAATGCTTTAGATACAGGAATTTCTGCTCATGATCGGTGACTCGACACTCGACGAAATTATCAAATTCTCTAATGAATCTCCAATAGTTGCCGGGATTCCCGTCGAATGGCGTTAGCTCAACCTTAGTCAGGTCTATCGACGGGTGGCGGAACGTTACTTAAATCGGTGGTTGAGTCACTTCCGGTGTCCGTCTAATGGGCACGGTTTCCGTCACGGCATGCTTAGTCGAGCAAGATTGCCTAGCCTCTGCCTCCCAAAACTTCATTAACCTAATCTCCTGCTCTAGCTCTACAATCTCACGGAGGTATATATCAGAAATCTTAACATCGGCATTATAATCTAGAGCATATGAACTATTAGCACTAAAAGGGCTAACTGAATTAAAAATGTGAGAATCAGAACCCCCCCCCCCCAAATTCCCCAGTGACTTGCCGGGTTACTTCCTGTCCTTCCTCCTCGATCCTTCCTTGTTCGAACGACATTCTCTTGTTACAAGTTGCACGAATTTGAGTAATGTGCCTCTAGAATAGATCAACGAGTTACGCGTAGCCTAAATCGGTCCAAAACGTCAATAAAACGAACTATCCAGCAAGTTTCTACGGTACTGCATTAATAAACGATCAAATAAGCAAACAAAATCTGTGCAAACCTCAAAGTGATATCGAAACAACTTAAAACAGGAGCCAAGTATTGCTGTGAGCGTAAATCAATAAATCTGAAGGGAAGAAAATGAGTCTGGATAAGAATAGCACGCTCACCGTCACACTGTACTCAAGCGAGTCAACTGTGAGTGGTCAGGTAACGACTAAAACAAATAGGGTAGGAATGAGGTAGAAAAATAAACAAAGTCGAATGTTGGGATCGATGTGTTAATAAACAAAGGAGATGAAACATCATATGTCTATATATCTATGAGGTGGACGGTGTTAGGTGAATGGAGCGTAAAATTTACGCAGTGCTGAACCAAGGCGAAATGGCTGCGCTTTACGGGAAGGATTTCCATAGATCGACCAATACACCGCCCGGCAAAATCCTCGCGTCACACGCTCAAAGGAAAATTCAAAGAAACATCAATTCTCACCTTAACTAACTAAGCCTTACAATCGTTCTGCCATTCTATCGAGCTTATCCTCCAGCTCAGGTGGTTAACCTAAAGTCGTTTTCCATATCTCACAGTGCCTCCCTCGCTAACCCGGAGGATTACTCAGCTGCTTTGGTTTCCGGTCGATTCTACTTCTTCTCCCTCCAGGTGGCAGAGTCAGCAGATGTCTCGCAGGGTTTATCTGGCTTCTGTTTTCACTTTAACCGCATGTATTAGACAGTCCTTATCCGGGAGGCATGCCTTGACAACCGTCAGGGGCCTTTTATCTCGCCGCAACCGTTCATCCACCAGCAGCGCTGTGTAACCAACTCGAAAGTTTCTTTCTCTGGGTATCCATTTCTGTTGTGCCTGTAGAGTGAGCAAGTACTTTCGGACTCACCATACGTAAACCAATTCGCACTTGGGTGTCGCGTAGCCAAAACCCATACGAATCTCAAAATAAAACGTGATTAATCCGTAATATTCTACGGTACTGAATTAGAAAAATCATTACAAATGTACAACAAAGCAACCCCCAAATATGCGGCCAAAAGCACTCAAGCAATCGAGAACCAAATAGGATGTTCAGCAAGAGCCAACAGGTCGATCGCGTTCTATATCCACACCAAACTGAAATGTGGCAGGCATCGGATCAACAGATAAACAATTGTGTGGGGGTGTACATGAGTGAGAATATGTCAATAAACAAGTAACGCAAGAACAGATTTACGTCAAATGTAATCATTGTGGGTTGGGAAGGATTTTCAAAAAATCAACGTGAAATACACTGGCCGCCAAAATCCTCCCTGCGCTCGTCTAAGTCAAACGGTTGGCGCAGGTTACTGATTCTTGAGTTTCTATCTACCTACCTCATCCTTGCTGTCAGTGCTTCTACCTAAGAACTGTTCAACCTTCGCCGCACTCGTCGATCTTGACCTGCAATGACCCTCAAGTTCTTTCGTTGAGATCTGCCCTCTGCATCAGCAAGCTCGCAGTCAGTCATACGATAAAGATAACAATGGGTCAAATGTCTATCATTACAGCTAGAGTCTCAATGTGTAAATAAGGGATTAATGTGAACGGTGTGATTGTTGTTCGTGTTTACAAATGAAATCGTGTTCAGCATGCAGGGATATTGTTTGTGTATGAACGGATGAATGTTGTGAGGACATGTGTCACACCTTTGAGGTTAATATTGTAAATGGTGTATCAACTAGAAAATAAGTAGACACTTGGTCACGAAAATGAGATAGATGGGAAGTGTGGTATGGGTGTGGGAAATCTGCATTCTCCCGGTGGGATTGATATCACTGGAGGGCGATTTATACAATGGGGCATGTAAGTCTACACACAACTTATCTCCACAAATTCATCACCTAACTGCATGGTAGTCGTGGCCTTCTAATAACCACACTTGTCGAATGTCGCACACGTGTTCGCCGGCAGAATTTTTCAATTTCATTGTTGGAACTAGTCCATCTGGGTCTGGGTGGCTCTCTGTGACTACACCCAGTGGCCAGTTGCCGCGTCGAAGCTTTTCGTCGGCCATAAGAACAACGTTTCCAACCCTCAGTGATCGTTCTCTATACACCCACTTCTGACGTGTTTGAAGGGTTAGCAGGTATTCCCTTGTCCAACGCCACAGAAATACCCCGTCAGGTAGTTCGGATGCTTCCCACCCGCAGTGTAGCAGCCACTTATAGTTTTTAGCATATCTAAGCCGGTATTGGATCTCAGCAGCAGAAGTTCATTGGGGGTTAACACCAATCCCTACCTGGCATCGCTAGTGACGGATACAAGTGGTCGGTTGTTGAGTATTCGATCCGCCTCCACCAAGAGCCTATTGTTCGCATAACACTGTTAATATTCTCCGTACCGACCGTATGAGCCGTTCCCAAACTCCTCCGCGGTGACTGCTGTAGGGTGGGTTGAAGTGTCATTGGGTTCCAGATGGCGGTAGCCTATCTTACAGGGTGCATTTGTCTATCCGCTTCGGCCATTTTCTCAGCTCCCTTTGTGCACCGATGAACTTGAATCCGTTGGCGGAGAACACATTCGATGGGTTTCCTCGTCTACCCACGAATCTCTGCCAGGCCATGAGAAAGTAGTCGGTTGACATAATCTGTACGGTCTCTATATGCACAGCTCGCTGAAGTCGTTGACCTCATTGTCGTAAATCCGATGTAGGGTTTGTTCGATCGTATCGTCGCCAGCGGTGGTGGTTGTGGTAAAGTTAATTGNGGTCTCTATATGCACAGCTCGCGACTGTAGACAGGTTATCAGGCAGCCGTACCGCTTCTCCGTCGACGACTTTCGTCTCACCCAAAATGGCTTGAAGTAGTCTACTCCAGTTTCAGCAAAGGGCCACCAACCTGGTCGTACTCGGGAGTTTGGTAATGATGCCATCAGTTGTTGCTGAGTGTAACATTCTGGCGACGACAAAAGAAACAGTTACCCACGGTGCACTTCACGTACCTCTCCCCTTGATTATCCAAAACCAATGGCAAACCGTATTGAGTAGGTGGTTTTGCCCTGCATGACCTTCTTGCATGTGAATATGTATCATGAGTGTGTGCGTGGTGTGGTGATTGTTGGGCAAGATAATGGCGTGTTTATCATCAAAATGCAATTCAGAGTTTGTCAATCTACCACCTACTCTCAGCAAACTATCTACCAATATTAGACAGAGTCTTCGGAGAAAACTGCAACGTGATGCACGTCTATCGGAGTCACGAATCCCCTCACTCACCCTCTGAATCTCCGACGGGAATACTTGCAATTGAACGATACATACGAAATCAGTCTT